TGTGTTAGTGTGTGTGTGTGTGTGTGCACTTGTGTGTTCTTTCTAGAGCATTGGTGTTTGTCTGAAGGGTAGTAGCAGGCAATGGCTTGTCCTCAGGCCTTCCAAGGAGGAGGCCTGCCATTTGCCCTGGCTCCCAGCTTTGGAATTGGGCAAGGGTGCCAAGAAGCCGGCCTGATAAGAATTAAGATGGCTCTCTTCCAGGTTTGTTTGATTTCCCCCCTCATTCTCTCTTTTCTCTCCCCAGCACATTCTTTGGTTTGTTAACATAGCAAATAAAATATGCTCTGTCTGTATACACTTAAGTTACCTACACATCAGTCCAGTTGCATATAAAGCTCAAAGACACTCATTTAAAAAGAACAAACTAGGAATCAGGGTTGTCTGATTCATTTCTCTAGAAGGGAAGACCTTTGAGAATGTTTCAGGATTTTATCTAGCAATTTCACTTGGTTTCATGGAGCCTGGTCCAGAAGTTTGGTTAACTTGCCCATTTAGAAGGAAAGCTGTGACTTTCAGATAGAGCTTCAGGCTGGGAACAGTGGTGCCTCACAGCCATGGCCCTGCAGGAACCCCAGTGTAATCTCTCTCCTCCCAGGGGATGTGACCGACAGGAGTTGCCCTTCCTAGTGCTGTACAGACAGCTCTTACCTGTATCTTAACTTCCGGAAGCTGTCCTGAAAGACACTTGGTGTTTAGTCTGTTGCAATTTTTAATCTCCCTTCATCCCTTCCAAAGATGATAGAATTTTTAACTGTCCTTAGAAAAGGAGCACATTATTGATGACCTTCGTTATGCACGTGATTCAAACCTGTGCATTTGCATTTAAACTGTTTTAGGAAGTAGCGGAAATATGTTATTTTCCATCTGAGGTAGGTTAGAATTAAGATGTCAGTTTGAAATAGGTAACATGAAAAATCATTAATGTGTCCCCATATCCTGCATAATGTGACATCAATTGGTTATTCTGTCATCCTTATTGGGGAAAAACATGCAATTCGTCTCTTTGTACGAGCTTCTGAATAATGTCCTTTGCAAATATACGGTTACTTGTTTGAACAGGGTGTGTTTGGCAAGCTGCCTCTGGGAGGGAGGAAGGCCGACAGGTTCCAGTAGGTAAGTTGGTAGAAGCAGTAAGGAGGAAGCCCTTTCTCCGTTCCAACCAACGGCGTGTGCCTTTTTCTTGAAGCCTATTCAGATGATCCTTCCTTTTCTGCTTCCCCCTGTGTAAAGGTGGCATGTTTGTCAATGGAGGATGCCACAGTTCTGCCTAGGATGGGGGGACACAGAGTGCTGTAGTTGGAGCCACGATTTCTTCCCTACACTTGGAAGGATTATTGCTGCTCATGTTCTGACTTGCCAGGAGCAGTGTCTGCATAGCTACAGTCACGGTGATGTTAAATGTAGGTCAGGTTGAAAACATTTACTCACGAAGAGAAGGCACGGTCAGCACGTAAATAAATTGACCATTGGCAGCTCAGAAATTACGCTTGGGGGCCGGCCCTGTGCTCGAGTGGTTAAGTTAGTCCTCAGCTTCAGCGGCCCAGGGTTTCACCAGTTCAGATCCTGGGTGCAGACTTGGTACCACTCGTCAGGCCATGCTGAGGTGGCGTCCCACATAGCACAACGCGAGGGACCTGCAACTAGGGTATACAACTGTGTAGTGGGAGGCTTTGGAGGAAAGAAGAAGAAGAGAAAAAGACATTACACTCATTCTTCCCTCATTGAAGGAGTTGGGTTTTTGTCCCACATAAAGGAGTAGGAGCAAATTTCACGGAGAAGGACATAAAAAATAGAAATTTAACAAAGATGTTTTTTGTGAGTTTGTAAGACTAGCTGCTGTAGGAGATCCTGATCTTAGTGGCCTAATGACACAGACGTTTCTCATTCATGTAGCAGTGTGACATGGGTGCTGCTCAGCTGGTGACTCTCTGCCAGGGGGTGACTTGGGGCCCCAGGCTCCTTCCCTCTTGTCTTTGCCGTATGCATTGTGGGGCTCCCAAGTTTCCCTGTAGGTTGTCTCCATTCCAACCTGTGTGTGTGTGAGAGAGAGAGAGAGAGAATGTGTATGAGTGTGTCTGTCTGTATGTTGTGGGCCAGGCCTGCGTTACTTCTGTGCACATTCCGCTGGCTAAAGCTCAGTCAAATAGCCACGTCCTGATTGCAAGGATAGCTGGGGAATATATTCTGTCTGTGTCTTCTGAAGAGGAGGACAGGGACTTGACGATGGGCTATTAGTTTAGGCCAGTGCTTCTCAAACTTTAGCTGCATCAGAATTACCTGGAAGCTTGTTAAAATACAGCTTCCTGGGCCCCTCCCCCAGTTTCTGACTCAGCAGGTCTTGGATGGGGGCCAAGAATTTACATTCCAAATAAACTCCCAAGTGATGTTGATACTGCTGGGCTGGGGACCACACTTGGAATAGCCCTGGTATGTGACTTTTTTTTTTTTTTGCTGAGGAAGATTAGCCCTGAGCTAACATCTGTTCCCAGTCTTCCTCTTTTTTTTTTTCCACTTGAGGAAGATTGTCCCTGAGGTAACATCTGTGCCGATCTTCCTCCACTTTATATGTGGGTTGCCACCACAGCATAGCTGATGAGAAGTGTAGGTCTGCATCTGGGATCTGAACCTTCGAACCTGGGCCACCAAAGTGGAGCGTGTGAACTTAATCACTAGGCCATAGGGCTGGCCCCTATGACACATCTTTGTGTCTTGATTTATCCATATTAATCATGAAAACCAGAAGTCTATCTTTATCATAGTGACAGAAGAGATAGGAGGGAAGGAGAGGAGTAAAATCGTCTTGGCCAGGCCGTTTGGAATGTTAAAAGTAGTAAAAGTGGAGGATTTCTTAGAGGATTGGAGTTTTGGAGGGTCGAGGCCTGGGCAGTCAGGTGCTAGTGAGACGGCTGCCCCTTGCTCTGTGGGAGGGGGATGAATAGGGACCTCTGTTGCCAGGAAAGGAGCTTTCAGCTCCATCAGCTCTGCTGGGGCAGGAAGGTTGGGGGAATAAAGTACCTAAGTAGCTACGGGAGAGGTGGCTTGGGGAAAGTGACGAGGGGAGGCCTTACCTGAGAATGAAGAGTGTGTGTGACTGCTGGAGTGGACCACGCCTGGACGCTGGGACACAGACCAGCAGGACTCGGATCTAGAGCTTCTTTGAGATTTGGGGTAGCTGTAAAATGGGGATAATAATGTCCATCTGTTAGATTGCTCTGAGAAGGAATTAGGTCAGAGGTTTATAAGCTTTCTTGTTCGTGGTCTTCATAGGTTAAAAAAAATCCTACGTTTTCATTATTAAGTGGTGAGCTCTAAATACTTCATGCAAATTTATATCTTAACACCTCAGTACCCATTGGAAAAAATAACATAAATGGAAAGAAATATATTTTAATTCCCTGTTAAATACCCACGATTACATATTGATGAGATGTGTGGACCTGCGGGCACTGCACAGCTTCTCAAACCTTGGACCCCTTTGGGCATCGCTCTCCTCTTTTCCTGTTCCATGTTGTGTTTGCTTTTTATCCCAGCACCTGCTGAAAACCCACCTTTGCAAAGATACGATGTCATTGCAAGGAACGTAGTGCCATCTAATACCGAGTCTGAAAACTCTCTAAGTGGGTAGGCACGGTCTCTGACCCATGCTGAGTATGGCCATGTACCCCTCAGAAACGTCAGTATTCTGCGGTGCCTCTGAGTTCTCAGTAGTGAGCTAGGTGCTTTGGTGTGCAGGTTGGAAACTGTGGAATTGGTTAGTTTTCCCCTCTTCATTCCTTCACTGAATTAATGTTACCGGAGTAGCAGTGAAGCATCAGCCACTGTGCTGGGCCCTGGGGGGGAACACACTTCTGCCTCCAAGGAGCGCAGAGTCTAGTGTGGGAACGATGTTGAATCGGGTAATCCTCCAAATGTAGACTCCCATGGCCAGTGGCGTGAAGGGCTATTTCCAGGTGCCTGAGAGCTTGTGGGAGGGGTGTATGACCTGGTTAGGGGAAGCTTTGTCAAGTTGGTGGTACTTGAGTTTTTCCTGAAGGCTAAGGAGTTAACATGGAAAGTTGAACCAAATTCTAGGTGGAGGGAATAGCATTCTGGTCAGGTATTTCTCAAACTGGCGTGAAGGACTTGCCCCCCTCAATTGCATTGTGGTTGATTCATGACTAGTATGTAGCTTGTGTGTGCTATGTGCTGTGTGTGTTGCACAACATCTGGACTGTGTAATGAGACACAGCCACTGATCAGGCAGTTGAATGTTGAAGCAAAACCAAATTGCAGGGAAAGTTTCAAAAAGCTGTCATGGGCTGGTATAATTTGTGGGCCATCAAAATTTGTGGAGTAGACTTTGAGTAACTGCTCCAGATGGGGGAACAGCATGGGCAAAGGTCCTGTGGTGAGAGAGAACTTGGTGAAGATGAGGGAGGAAAAGAAAGGTGAGTGTGGGTGGAACAGAAAGTGACAAGGTGGAAAAGTTGGCAGGGGCTGTGCTGAGCCTCTAGGCCACAGGAAGAATTTGAGACTCAGGTGAAGACATTTCCATCCTGGTGGAGAAGGGGAAGTTGTCTTATCTATTTCCTAGGTGATAGACTGAGAGTACAACAAGGTGTAACACAGCTGCTCTTCGGGGCGTAGTGAATTCCAGCTGTTCTCTGAAGTCATATGGAGCATGGTATCGGAGTCTGTGGCAATGCATTTGCTATCTTTGCCATTCTGAGGTTTACTCTGGTGTCCATGGGCCCCAGGGGGAGTGGTGGGTGTCGTACCCAATCCTGAATGGACCTGGCCCTTTCCCGTAGTGGCTGTTACCAGCTCCATTCTGACTTCTGAATGAAGTGCTCTCTCCCTATTTGGGGACTGACTTCCGTGGGGCGCCTGGGAGGGACTTCTGGTTGCCAGCTTCCTGGGTTTGGAGCCTTGATGTCAATGTAAGGATTACCTTCCTTTCCTTCTTTGCTATGAGGAATGGGCTGGGGTGAAAAATGATGCACTGTGGTTTCTCTGCACAGGTACTTTGTGCTGGATTTTGAGGCTGGCATCCTGCAGTATTTTGTGAATGAGCAAAGCAAACACCAGAAGCCTCGAGGAGCCTTGTCTTTATCCGGAGCCATAGTCTCCCTGAGCGACGAAGCTCCCCACATGCTGGTCGTGTACTCCGCTAACGGGGAGATGTACAAACTGAGAGGTACGTTGTTCTGCTCACTTTCCAAACTGGCGGCGTGGGCTACCTTCATGATTACCATGGTGATGGCTCTCTTGGTTTTTGATCTTTTTTGAAAATCACCTTTAACAGTTTGCTGTGTTTGAGGGCTCTGTAGTGAAAGACGGATGCTGCCTCTCTTACCCCTGGGATGGGGAGAGGGCCTGATGTGAGGAAACATTTGCCCTAGTTAACTGAGGAAATAAGGACAAAGGAGAGGTGAAGGATTGCAAACCCAGCTGAGCCCTAGGACCTCTGCCGATTTTCATGTTAGCTCAGTGTGTATCTCCTTTGACCTTATAGTATGAATCTTCACTCTAGTGCCCTGTAGGCCCTTTGTGCTGGTAGGACAAAACATGCCTTTCGAGGGTCATCATGCCCTTGCCCTACAGTTTCTCTGGAACCATCTCTTAGTAAAGGGCCCCTTCACTTATGTTAATCCGTTGTAGTGAGCCTGGTCAAGCCAGCTCGTGTTGAGTTAATTTCCTCTTGTATGCTTTCTCCTCTTCTCTTTGCTTCTTGAAAACTGATGTCTGCCCAGCATCCTCATCAGTGAGGATGACTTTCGAGGGAGTCCAGCACTTGGCCATAACTGTAGGTCCTGCCACCCCCACGGCAAGTCCATCACACAGGCTGTCAGGAACGCCGGATTTGACTGTAGCAGTATAATTTGGTTGCTAGATCATTCTTCCAGCATTCTTTTGCAGTTGCATTGCCAGAAAAATTGTCAGTTTTTTAAAATAACAACAAAAACAAAAATCCAAGTCCACATGTTTGCACGGCTGTGCGCACACACACACACACACACACAGTGTTATTAGGGTCTGAGGAAAGGTAGTACGTGTTAAGTATTGGGAGGTGGTTGATAATTCTGCCTTCTTAATGACATTTTTCTTTGCCCAAGTAAGGGCTGTGTACAAAGAAAAGGCTCCTTGTTATTTCTCCTTGACCCCTGGGAACTGACCATAATACATCGCCTCTGCAAAGCCAGCCCGGGGGCCTCGATTCCTCACCTCGCTGTCTGGTCTTCGCTGTTCTATCTCCAGGCTTTACCACCAAGAGGCGGAATAGGCTAATGTTTCTTTATTATCTATATACAAGTCATATTTCAGAATCTATAAAATAATTCAAAAGCCTATGAAATAAAAATGCCTATAGTTGAAGAAGAAAGTTTTCCAGTTTTGAGAAACGTGGTAAGATTCATGTTCTCTTTTGAGATTCGTGCAGTGCGTGCTGCAGCTGGCTAGATTTATAGGGTCCTTGGTTTCGCTGCACTGTTTATTGCTTAATAAATTGTTAGAGCAGAAACAGTAGCAGGTGAAAGACTTAATGGCACTTTACCCCCTGCTTGTGGTTTATAAAATGACACAAACCCATACAAAAGGAAAATCCAACTAATTTGACAATTGAGCCATCTCATTTTGCCTTAGAGTGGTTGTTATTTTCTGGATGCTGAAACCCCAGGGTTTTTTTTTTTTTTTTTTTTTAAGGGTAGTTTTAATAGCAAATATAAAAGATTCATTATTTATGTGAAATAATGACAAGGGCTAAGTTTAGCTTAAACTTATCAGCTACAGAAAAGGCAGGATAAACTTCTGCATATTTATGGCAGCTCCTTGGCCCATCCCACGAGGTCTGGGGGTTGCTTTTCTCGTTTCTCATCTCACCTACGTGTCGAGTTGAATCTTGACGTCATTGGGTGCACAGCTTTGGGGAATGTTTTTGGGGCTCAGCCTCTGGATCATACTGCCACAACCTGGCAATTCTTCACGTTTCCTAAGGAAAAAGGCTCTAGTCTCTGCAAAATCCTTTGACTTTGAAAGCTGAGCTCACCGGATCTTAGACTGGTCTACAGCTCTGGGTTCCTTCACCTGAAAGTTCAAGCTGAAGTTGGGTTTTATTGAGAAATGACACTTAGGCCCATTTTTAAAAACAATTTCTAGGGGAATCATTGTTTTCTGCATGGTCAACATTTACACAGTTAATCTTATATTTAAAAATTTTTGCAGTTAAATTGATTTAGATTTTATTGGAACCTATTACATATATATGATTTTTTTTTTAAGAAAGTACTTTTATGTATTTGAGGGATGGGGGTGTAGATGGAAGATTATGACTGTGCAGTTGGCTTGTACTTTAATGCCTCTTTGTGGCGGAATTTGAGGATTTCTAAGGCAGCATTTGGTATCTTGTTCTGTCTGATCATAATGTGAATTCTTGAAGACACATGTTAAAATGGTAATTCACCTGAACACTTACTTTGTAAATGCTAACAGCTCCATGGTACAGCTCTGATACATAACAAAGGGCCCTGGAAAACTATGCTTTGATCCTCATATTAGTCACACACAGTGGAGGCATTTAAAAATAATCATGTTTACCCTTCCCTGCTGCCTTTTTAAAGAAGAAAAAATTACTTTTTCAGAGGAGGTTAAAAAAAAATGGCAAAATTGCCGGGCCAGCCTGGTGGCGTAGTAGTTAAGTTTGCGCCCTCTGCTTGGGCGGCCTGGGGTTTGCAGGTTTGGATTCTGGGTGTGGACCTAGCACCACTTGTTAAGCCATGCTGTGGCAGCGTCCCTCATAAAATAGAGGAAGATGGGCACCGATGTTAGCTCAGGGCCAATCTTCCTCAAGCAAAAAGAGGAAGATTGGCAACAGATGTTGGCTCCGGGCCAGTCTTCCTCACACACACACACACACATACAAAATGGCAAAATTGTTCTTATAACAGACATTTCAGAATACATCATGACTGTGCTTCCAGAGGGAGTTTTCTGATGAGATTTAGTGTAGTTTGTGTTTTGGTGTAAGTACAGACTGTGTGAGAATATTGTCATCTGCATTCGTTTTTCCCTTCTTTTTCTCCCCCTTGTGCCCTGGCCCCCCACTCCCTTAGGTGGGTGTAGAAATAGGTTAGATGTGTTTTGGAACAATTTTGCAAGCATTTCTTTCTCTATTTTAGCTGCCGATGCAAAAGAGAAACAGTTTTGGGTGACTCAGCTTCGAGCTTGTGCCAAATACCACATGGAAACGAATTCTAAGGTGAGTAACCCTGGGAAGGAGGGAGGCATGCCCGGTGCTTGGATGGTTACGTTTCTTGGGGGAAGCTGTGTTTCATGTTATATTTTAAGTTATCCTCCATAATAGAATTCATACTTGTCCTGCTGCATTTAAACTTAAAGCCAAGAGAAGAATAGTGAGATTCGCTTGTAGGTAGAATGAAGAGACATGCACACAGACACTTCATTGGAACTGATTCTGGAAAGACACTTCTCTTGCTTTCCATGTTGTCAATCCAGGCAGCTGTGAATTGGTCTGTTGAGAGGCATTGAGTGGATGATTTCATTGTGGAGGCAGAGTAGTCAGATTTACTGTTCACAAAGAGTAGTTGTCATCACTGATCCCTAAATAAAACCTAGACCCCAAATTGATGAAGTACTCTGCAAGGAGCTTCTGCATTCTAAGTGTGTAAAAATGTTCTCGGGTAATTTGGCCTCTGAGTGTGAATTATCTTCTCCCCAGGATCCGTGTGAGATCTTGGGTGAGACGTGCGGGAGACAGGAGGTGGGCATTTTCATGGACTATTCGGAGGATTTCCTATCATTAAAATATAGGAAATAATTGCAAAATGAATTTATTCAGGGCAATAAATATTTGTTAAAATCAATATTCAAAGGACTACCCCTTTTATATCATCAGTTCAGATTTAGCTGCTATATCTAATTGTGGTCTTTTTTCGTATTCTCTGCATCTTATAGAAAGACCCACAATTGAAACTTCTGATGACTCCGTTTGCTGTAACCTGCCTGCTGTCTTGCTTGCGGCCTTGGGAAATGTCTTGCTTAGTTTTACCTCCTTGTTCTGCCTCCAGATATGATCTGAAATGATTTCTTCACTATGATTTTGTTCTTTTTTCTTCCTTTCTAGAGACATCCTCTGTTCTTGACTTGCTTACCACAGTTTCACTCACAGTAATTCCCCTCTTGACTTGCCCTGAGCAGAATCGGGGTAACTGTAGGTAGGGCCCTACTTGTAAAGCTTTTTCCCTCTGGTCTCCTTTATTTTCCATGAGTTTATAGTAGGAGTTCTGGACATTTCATCAGTATTTTATAAACACCTAGGCAGGGCAGTTAAAAATTTTTTTTATACATATCATTTTACTTTTTATAAAACATAACAGAAGGGGGATAAAATAAAAAGGATATAACGTATCTCCACTATTGCTGTAAATGATCATTAGAGAAATTGCTCTTAAGTGTTCTTGTATGTCAGTCTAATAAATTTAGGCATGTGTTAGTGTATGTGTATATATATCTACATCTGTTTTTACACATGTGTGATTATATCATGTAAACTGTTTCCTGTTTTTTCCCATTTATTAATATATTTTGGAGGTCTTTTCCTCTTAGACACATGGATCTACTGTACTCATTTTAGGATGGTTGGATGGTGATCTAAGGACTGGATGTCAGTACCTTATTTAAATCCTCTGCTGATGGGCATTTAGGTTGTTTTCGCTGTTGTTGTTACATGTAATGCTATCATAAACATTTTTGTACATATATCTTTTCCTCTCTGTAGGTATATATATGAATTTACATAGTGGAATTGCCGGGTCAGAGATTGTATCTTCTAAATTTTCATAGACGTTGCTGAATTGTCTTTTAAAAAAGTTGCCCTAATTTGCACTCCCACCGGGTTTTGTGTGTAAGGGTGTTTTCCCCCCTCACTAACCATGGCTCTTATTAATATTCAGTTTTTGATAGTCTTACAAATAAAAAATGGATCTCCCGTTATTTTCACTTCCACTTTAAAAACATGATTGGGGCTGAGTATGTTTTCCAATGTCTGTTGGCTACTGTTTCACATGAACTGCCAATTTTTATTTCTCACCCACTTTTCTATTGAGTTCATCATTTTTCTTCTTGATTTGCAGTAGCCGTATGTGTATTAAGTGTATTTGTCCTTTGCCTGTCATTTGTACTCTACATACTTTCTTCTAGTAGGTCATTTGTATTTTGACTTTGAATACATTTATTGCTTTGTAAAATATTTAATTTTTGTGGTCACATTTATGAATATTTTCATTTTTGGCTTTTGGCTTTGCATCATTTTTAGAAAAGGGCTTCTCTGCTCAAATTATGAAAACATTCTTCAGTATTTTCTTCCAGTAAATTTGTAGTTTAATTATCATGTTTACATCACTGATTCATCTGGAATGTATTTTGGGTGTAAGAATTCAGGAAGGAAACCAACTTTCAGTACATTGGTGTTTTTGATGAATTCCTAGACACAAGGAAAGGTAAAGACATCCTAATGGTAGTAAGAAATAGAATTTGAAGCTTCTCTGAGGGAGAATTTGAATTCCTGGTACATTCTTTAGGTAGTTTCAAGAATATGGATTGATCCATTAGTATTAGAAACAAAATCAATCATAATTGTGATGTTAGGGCCTATAGGATTCCTTATTTGAGAACTGGAGGTGAGGTTGCCCCCACCATTCATTTATAGCATAGCGATTGTGAACAATCAGGGAATAATAATTTGTAAATGTAAACAGGCCTTGTTATTCAGCAGGAGTGTTGTGAAGTCCGCGGCTGCTTGGACAGAAGTTAGTAGTGAAAATGAAGTTAGCCTTAAAGTGGCTGTAAACTGGATATCCCGTTAGCCGTAGGATGGCCACTTCATCAGCATCCTGGTGATTATGCTAAGCCTTCTCGACACTGTTCTTTCTCATTCTCTCTCAGCAGGGCACATCCCTCCCCGGGAGATTGTAGAGAATGTTCTCCCTACAGCTGCTTGCACTTTGCCTTTTAAAAACGTGTTATTTAAAATCAAGTGTTCCCTGGAACAAATATTAGGTAGATGGAGTGGCACTATCATTCAAACTCACCTTAGTGAGAATTGCAGGAAAACAGGATTCGTAGAACTCTGGAGCTGCAAAGGGCTTTCAAGCTGGCCAGTCCAGGGGTTCTGAAACCCAGACCGTCTCAGTCAATTCGTGATGAGGTTTTCCCTGGTCCAGAAGTGAAGTGCAAGAAACAAGGAGGGAATTGTTCCCAAAGACACCTTGATTCAGTAGAAAGAACTGCTCTTTATTCACATTTTACTTTGCTTTGCTTTTGGGGGGTTAAAATATTCTTTCTATTATAGAAAAATGGTAGAATATTGATTGGTTGCCTTTTTACAAAATTTAGGTTTATTGAGGTACAACTTACATAAGGTAAAATTCACATCTTTTAAGGGTAAAGTTTGAGTCTGACAAATGTGTACAGTCATGTAACCATCACCACAGTCACAATTCTGCCATCCCCAAGGGTTCTCTCTGCCTTGTGGTCAGTCCCCCTGCCACCCTCAGCTCTTGGCGACTGCTGATCCATTTTCTGTTTATAGTGTTGCTTTTTCTAGAATGTCCTATAAATAGAATTGTACAGTCTTTCACATCATACTTCTTTCACTTAACATAGTGCTTCTGAATTTCATCCATGCTGTTATATCAGTAGCTAATTCTTTTTTTAATTTTAGCTATTTTAGTGAATGTGTTGTCCTTTTTTTTTTCTTTTAAAGATTTTATTTTTTTCCTTTTTCTCCCCAAAGCCTCCCGGTACATAGTTGTATATTCTTCGTTGTGGGTCCTTCTAGTTGTGGCATGTGGGATGCTGCCTCAGCGTGGTTTGATGAGCAGTGCCATGTCCGCGCCCAGGATTGGAACCAACGAAACACTGGGCCGCCTGCAGTGGAGCATGTGAACTTAACCACTCAGCCACGGGGCCAGCCCCTGTACTTTTTGTTTTTAATATTCTTAATTTCAAAAATCAAAAGTGATTCCCAATTAATTGCCAGATTAATTCTTAAATTAATTCTCAGATTAAAGACATTAATACCTAAATTAATTCCCAGACCAAAAAAAATGATTGGCCTTTGAAATCTAAAGGCCATGTGGTCCAGCCTCCTTTAGTTTACACACGACAAAGCTCCAGCCAGGAGGGTTGTGGGGCCAAGACTTGAACTCTGATCTCCTGGTTTCCTGCTCTCACGTCACAGATGTCGGGGCTGCCATGTTCTTCCCTCCGTGGCTGATGTGGTCCCTTTGAGGCAATTTCTCCTTCTAGATGGACAGAAACTGCCAAACAACAGGGAGTCCCCCTTTTTTCGATCTCACGTAGATTTGTCCTGCAGGCTTGTTATTTGAGGCACAGTTGTGAGGATACGAGGCTAGGAATGAGGATGCCAGGAAGACTGGAACATCAGCTTTCTCTGAAAATATAAACAACAAAACTAAACATCCTATTTTTAATGCAGTATACAAAATTAAAGCAGTATAGAGAATTGCATTGATTAGGAAGTGTTCAGAGAGACCTGTGAGGAACTGTTCTCATGAGAATTGACTTGTGTGTGACTTTGACAGTATCAGACATGCGGGAGCGGGTGTCTTGTTTTTCCAGGTAGGTGGTAGTAGGAAACCCCTAGGACAGGGAATAGTGGTGTTCTGGGAACTGCAGTAAGCACAGAGGATGGGAAAGGACTGGCCTGTTGACAGAAGTAATGACAATTAATACCTTTATGTGACTGACCCTCACTCGTGATTGCATTACTCTTCACAGTGGTCCTGTGGGGTAGGTAGTGTTATCTCCACTTTTACAAATTAGAAAACTGAGACTAACTGAACTTAAATGATGGGCTCAGTCACAAAGCCAGTAAGTGACTGGACTGGGACAAGAGCCTGAGCTGCTAAACATACTTCCTCCCCCTCATTTCTCAGCCTAGTTTCTTTCTTTTTTTCTTTCCTGAGGAAGATTTTCCCTGAGCTAACATCTGTGCCAGTCTTCCTCTACTTTCTATGCAGGTTGCTACCAAAACTTGGCCACCGACGAGTGGCGTAGGTCTGTGCCCAGGAAGTGAACCCGGGCCACCAAAGCAGAGCATACCGAACTTAACCCCTAGGCCATGGGGCCCGCCCTCATCCTAGTTTCCTGGCAGGAGCTAATTGGAAGTTTCATGATGGTACTCTCCCCCCAATGAATTCCGTATTTTATAACATG